CTCTAGGGCCTTTTCAGGGAGATGTTTTGTGAGAGCACCTCGGACACTTCCACGCCAGCTCCTTCAAATATCAACCTGTTGTCCTCTTCACTATTCAATTTTCAGCACGTGGGGCAGGGTGCATCCTAAGACACCTGCTGCAATCATTTGCTGATGAATCAATAGATGAAAGATTGGCTAAACCAGCTACGCCTTAACTTCCTCCTTCCAATGGAGCCAGACCTCTCCTTTCAGAGCATGTCACCTTCTCCATGTCTCACTTCCTGTTGATAACAAAAAAATTCCTATCCCTGAAGGGCCCAATGTTTCCAAATCTCACTTCCAGTTACTCTTGACCTCTTGCCCTGCATGACATTTGCTCATGAAGATAAGCCTAGAGCCACCTTCACTATGGAAGCAGCATCCACACGTCCTGCACTTTCCCAAGAGAATTGTTGTACATTCGGGGTTTTGCCCCTGAAGACTTTCCTAGCTAGTCACTTCTAAATGGGTGGCTGGCTTTGGGACTCATCCCTGGTATGCTGAACACTGGGCTTCTGCAAGGCCTGGAAATTTTTGGCTCCCGGTATCTACTGGAGATGTTCCAGGGTTTCTGCCAAGATAGATTCCTGGCACACAATCCTCCACCAACCAAAGGAGGGAAAACAACAACTATACCAACCTGCTTTTCAAGGAAAACTGAAGTGTGGACGGTTGGTAGAGAGAGGACCATGGAGATGTGTGGCTTCATCTTCTTCTTCATCCTGATTATCCTTTGCTACTCTCAATGTGAGGCTACCCCAACCCAATGGCAGCCTTCCAACTGGAGCTTGGCCTCTACCATTCCTGGGGAACATTTTTTAATAGACTCCAAGGGTTTTCTCAAATCCTTCCATCAGGTGGGATGGGAAGAGAAGCAGCAAGAAGGTAAGTGGTGGCAAAAAGTATACAGAACTCACAGGTAACGGGGCAGTTTGAAGATCCAGCTTTGGGTGGGACTCTCCAGATGAATTTGGGAATTCTGTAATTCCAGCCCCCCTCAGGACCACTCACATAAGCTTCTAGAATTCCTTCAGAATGGACAGAGAGAGAGTAGACTGGAGGAGAAATTTTCATAGATTTGAAGGTTTAAATTTTGTTCCAGTGGTGAGCAAAGGAGAGGTTTTAGAGATTGGATGTGGAGAATTAGTGCAAATAATAAAATTTAAGGCTGAGAAGGTTTTGGTAGAGCCAAGAGACAAGGACACTAGAGGAAGGGCATGTTTGTGGGGCTTGAATGGAGATAAAGAGTCCAAGACTCTGCCCTTCCTCATGGGTCTACAGCTGGGAAAATTCAGGCTACAGTGGAAGCTAAGATCCAAGTGTAACAGTGGAAACCTTCCCACAGGTGAGATTGTGATATGTGGACCCTCCTTCAGAGCTGCGGGAGAAATATGGGGATGTCATTTGAAAGATCACTGATCACTGATCACATCTTCCAGGGAACTGGTAAGTGTAGGTGGGAGGAACATTAGGGGACAAAGGAGGGACCATCACAAGAGTTCTCCCAGCATTCTCTCCATGCTTCACTATCAGGTGTGACCTTTGCCAATGCAAATTGATGGATGGTCCTCCAGCGATTCTGTCTGAGCACCATGAACAACTTTGGGATGGGGAAGTGGAGTATAAAAGAACCAATCAAGGAGGCACTGAGCGTTTGGCAGGGGTGCTGAGGAAATCTCAGTATGAGCTCACGGGGCTGGGCAGACAGTCCAGAAGATTATGGTTTTGAGAGAGACAGCAAGACTGACAGAGACTCTGAGACAGAGATGCAGCCATGGGTTCTCATAAAAAGAAGGAGTAAGAGAGGTAAAAGAGGAAGAATTAAGGTGTACATAGAGAGAAGCAAGAAAGAAAAGCTGTGGCTACAGACAAAGGTCTAGACATAGAAAATTCAAGGAAAAGATTTAGAGAGCCCCTCGTGCCTTGCGCCCAGGCAGCGAGTTCTCCGGGAGTGGCAGGGCTCCTGGGTCCGAG